GGGTAAATGATGACGTGGATAGGTCCTCGGTGTGAGCGAGCCATATCCACACTGAAGGTTAATGCTGGACAATCCTGGTTCTGCTTCATGGAAGAAGAATCCCAGCTTAGGCTGTTAGCTTTAGCGCTGACGCTATACTGCCTTATATGTATAAGCTCGGTGCTAGCGCGACAAAGAAGCTACACTGAGGTCCTCCATCCACATGACAGAGAGGGGAACACAAAAAATGACTCAGCTGTAACTGAAAATATGGATGGAGGACAACAGTTTAGCTTGTTTGTCGCGCTAGCGTGACAAACAAGCTACACTGAGGTCCTCCATCCATATTTTCTGTTACAGCTGAGTCATTTTTTGTGTTCCCCTCTCTGTCATGTGGATGGAGGACCTCAGTGATGAGAGGAGAATGTGTAGCATTGTAGCATAGCGCAAAGGCTAACAGGCTAATCTGAGGTTGTTCTTCCAGGATATAGCTCGCTAGCAGCCTCGCACCGAGGACCTATCCACGTCATCATTTACCCAGAATGCTTTGTGTGTAAATAAAATGGCCCCATCCGTGTTAAAATATATTTTTAAACTTTTAGTTGAAAAATGATAAAAACTAAACATCCTACAGTATTTTTAACAGACTTTATTTTACGGTTAAAATATAAAGTCTAATGTTACAACTAATCTGGATCCATTTAACTGTTTTTACTACAAACACGTCTGCTAATCATTCATTTAAATAAGCAGTAACAATTTGATCTGATTAAGAGCTAACATCAGTCTCCACAAAGTTAAACCCAGGTAAGACCAGCTGAGGAAGCACCTAAATGATACGGCTCACATCCTGGTTTCTTAAGTCACACAGTCTGTGCCGGAACTTCCTGTAAAGCATCATTTCCCTCGACTTACAGTGACAATTAAACAGACCACCTGTTAGCCAAATATCACAACTGATGTGTCTCTAAGTTCATTTTTTCTTGGTTTAAATGGAGCTCAGAGTGTAAATAAAGCAACAAATACTTGTTAGTTTCACACAAACAGGGTTCTGCTACACAAACTGACTCCTTTAGTTCCACAGCTGCAGCTTTGATTAACCTTGTTTTGTTTTCTGTAGGACAGAAGTGAGTTTCTGTTCTACAAAATAAAAGCTCGGGTCTGATTTGTAAACGCGTCTCGCATCATCTGTGAAACTAAAAGGTCTTCAGGCTAAAAAGAGCTGAGTGTGAGCAGAGGACCTACACAGGGTGAGACACTGAAGCTCTGTGTTTTACCTGGGATGTAGACTGGCGTCACCACACGGATTATCAGAGAGGACAGGACGGACGGTTAGAACGTTTACACATCAGACAAGAGGACAAGTTCAGAGACTAACAGAACTACAGATGACTGAAGCAGAACATATGGCTGGAAGACAAGAGACAAAAAGCAGCGTCTGCAGCTGACCTGGTCTCTTGGGCGCCTTCTTGGTGGGCGTGTCCTTGCGTTTGGTTTGGACGGCGGGCGAGTAGAGGATGCCGGAGGAGGCGCTGTTCTTACGGAAGTGATCCTTCAGGCCTTTGATGGAGCGGTCCAGCTGGCTGGACCGGATCTGGTAGTACACGTTCATGAAGTCTGAGGACAGAGGACGTCCAACACCACGTAAGATTTAAACATAGAAATCACACAGTGAGACATCCTCCACCGTCTCATTGTGTCCTCAGTCCAACCACATCCATGTCCTCTGACTACATCCAAATGTGTCCCCAATGTCTCTTTCCTGGCAACTGCATCTCTAACGTCCTTCTACCAACATACCCTCTGTCCCTCCTCTGGACATGTCCAATATACCCTCTGTCCCTCCTCTGGACATGTCCAACATACCCTCTGTCCCTCCTCTGGACAACACCTCACTGTTGGAAAAGTAAATCAATGTTTTAGAGCTCTCTCCACCTTTAGAAGTTCTCCTCCACCTGTTCTCTGCTCTCACTACATGTCAAAGCTGCTGTTGGGATCATTTCTTGGTTGAAAACTTTGGTTTTGCTGGGTGAAAACTTTGGTTTTCTTGGTTTGAAACTTTAGTTTTCTTGGTTGAAAACTGGTTTTCTTGGTTGAAAACTTTAGTTTTCTTGGTTGAAAACTTTGGTTTTCTTGGTTGAAAACTTTGGTTTTCTTGGTTGAAAACTTTGGTTTTCTTGGTTGAAAACTTTGGTTTTCT